AAAAATATACAAGTAAAAAATATCTAAATAATTTTGCAAAAAAATTTATAATTAACGTCCTAATTTTTTACATATTTTTAAATTCCTTTTTTATTTGAATACAACTTGACAGCTTGAGGAAATGTAAATAATTGTCATAGAAACATTTATAAATTGCTAATCAATATTGCCTTGACAACCATTTAAATATAAACTGTCAAAATATATTTTTTGCACATGATCAATATTGCCTTGACAACCATTTAAATATAAACTGTAAAAATATATTTTTCGCATATGACATTGAGATAACCAATCAGCGTCGCGATAAAACTGCAACAATACACTTCGATACTTTCGAGATTTCGATACATTAGACTATCGACTTTTCATGCCTTTTTTAAGAGTGGATTTATATATTTCGCCATGCTTTAAAATTATGCAACATGAGATTACTTTTTAATAAGGTGATGTATGAAACAATCGGACAAACACTAAATTATAGTCCGAAAAAACAAGTGCATTTTCGCAAAAAAATCTATAAAATAAGTACAAAATTTTTCTATTAGTGGAAAAACTATACGCAAAAAATAATGTTCTTGAAATACTTTTATTATTTTTATACTGCTAAAAAGTATAAGAAAATCATGTCAAAATATTTTACTTATTCTGATATCTACACTGCTTTTATACCACATCGTTTTGCAATTCAAAATTTAATATATCTGTGACATAATAATTACAATAAAAATCTTATCAAAATTTTGCTTTTTTTGTTATGGCCCAAAAATAAAACCAGAATATTTATTGAATTAAATAATAATTAAATAATAATAATAATAATAAAATAAATAATTAAACAATAATAATTAAAAAATCAAAGCAAGCGTGCAGCAGCGTCTGCGCGACTTTTGAGCGCACCGGTGTGAACCTGGCAATGAACTTTATAAAATATATAAATAAATAGTATAGCCTGTGTTTGTACTTCAAAGAGTTAAAAATTATATATAGGGATTAAAAAATGATCAACTATAATGTTTTAATTTAATTTAATATTTCAACATCTTTGCATAATTATATTCCTCCAAATTTCTTTCCTCGTTTATCTATACTTTTGTTGTATTCTTTAATTTACACTTACAATAAACTCAGTTTTTTTTTAATTCAAAATTATAAAACTTGTTCGTCGTGGAAAACTTGCTAAAAGACGAAATAAACAGTTATAAATATTAATGTATGCTTTATTTTCAACTTTTCAGGTAATACTTGTATTGAAACCCGGAAATTTGCATGCATTAAATTGCGTATTATGTCATCAACAACATCAGAAGGTCAACTGCGGCTGACCTTCTTTATTCAACTTCTACATATGAATAAATCCAATTTTTTTAAATAAGCATGTATAATATAGGATTAATTATTAACATGTTAGTTCGGTCTAGCAGTGACAAATTCTTTGCTGTTATTAATTATATTTTTTTGACTTGATTAATGCAATTTAAAAAAATTTTGTTTATATTGATTTATAAGAAAAAATTTGTGAAATATATTTATAAAAAATTTTATTTGTTTTAATTACAAGATATTTATTTAAAATATAGATATTAAAAAAATATTTGCAAATTAATCAAATTCTAATTTTCTAAACGTTCCCGGAACTCCAAACAATTCGTCAGGATTTATTATAGAATTTATTCGAAGAGATTCCTGGGTTTTTCGTCTTCCTTCTTTTATAAGACAGTCTCTTCGTTGGGCTAGTTTTGCTCGCCACATATCTAGAAACAATAAACAGCAAAAATTATTTCTTAAATATTTAAATTTAAGAACTTACTTTTTAATCACCTTTTAATCTCTAAATTATATTAAAAAAAGAGATAAACAGTTTTGAGTATAATCTACCATTGTTGAGATATAATAATTAAAATAACATTTATTTTTCATCAAACATATGGTTAGGTAATATTTATTTTCTGTTTTGCATTTTAATTTTAAAGTTGTTCAAATTGTTGATAAATACACGTATTTAAAACAATGATGATATTTTACGTGTTAATATGTCCATTGATGGTTCTTCACCGCCATAATCCGCTGGTAAAATTGCTTTTGGTATTGTTTCATATAATGATTCTATTCCTGATTTGCAAACGTGGATCTGATATAATAGAGCCAATTGAAATTGTGGAATTGTTTTAAGAAAGGCCAAACTGTAGTTACTTAACAAATTAAATTTATATAATTTCAAAATATACTTACTCTGTTGAACAATTTTGCTTTAAATATTGATTTCGCTGCTTTCATAAATATGTCTACATATTGTGGAGCATGGATTACGTAAAGCGCTTTTACTCTTAAACTGTATGCCGTCTAAATAATCGAAGTAATATAAAACAACAATGATTTGTAAAATTTGGATTTCGAGCAAACTTTTTTGGTTCGAAATCCTTATTTCACAAATCATTGTTAATATACGCAAACTTTGAAATATTTTAATTATAATATAATTACTTTTTGCTAGATATCATTTTATAGTAAAAAAATATTACGTACCATACAAGAATCAAATTTCTTTAACAGAGGTGGTGAATACTTTAATACATGATTGATATTTGCTCCAGTACAATCCCAAATTACAGCGATGTCAGGGACTATATCTTCTTCCATTCCTGTCTCAAATATCATCGTAAAATATCTGCAATATTAATTAGTAATATGCGTTTTGTATCTTCAAAAAAAAAAAAAAAAGAATTTTATGTATATTTTTAAATATATGTATATGGGTTTGTTGTAAATCTATAATTTGTTATTGTTTAATCATTATGTTTGGGCGTCATCTGTGGGTGAAATACAATCGTTCGAAAATTTTGTTTTATTGAATATACAATCTGTTCTTTACATCTATATGAGCCCTCTATTTCACAAATAGTGCATATCAAATTTCTCAATTGTTCAGAAATGAACATGTTGCGTTCGGACTAACGTAAAAATGTATATTGAAATATTTCCGAATAATAGAATTAAAAATTATAAAAATAATATTTTTAATAAAAATCAGATCTTATAAAAAAGGGCTAATTAGTCAATGCTGAATGGTCGTGCAAATATATATTTACCAAATAAACACAAAAGATAAATGTTTCGACACGTAATCAGGCCTTTTTCAATATCAAAATGCAACTTATAACAACTTATACATACGCATTTTTACCGATGTAATGTTCTCAATTTTAAATCGTGCGCATTCTATATCTTATTAGTATATTAGTAACCTTAGTTAATCGTTAGCTCACAACCGCAACACAATCTAATAAAAAAGTTTTAACGATATTTCTTTAAAAGTGATTTTTATCATAATGTAGCTAAACGATTGATAGGAAATGATATTAATAGCAAGCTCAAGTGAAGCGTCATTATTGAGTAATAAGTCAGTGGAAAAGTTCAAGGTTTATGATACGTAATCATCAAAAGTTAAAACAGTAATCAACTACTGTTACTACTGTTTTAATATTATCACTTTAGCAGGTCTGATAATTTTGTAGATAATTTATTGTTAGTCTCATGACAAACAAAATATTAAATTTTTGTGAAATAGTACATTTGTTCTACTTTGTAGATATTACATACGTACTTTAGAACCGCCCAAGCATTATATAAAGAGGCGTCATTATTTATTAGACGACAGATATATAATCTGTATCCTTCTGGGGTTAACTTTGGCAAACATACATTCTGTCTAAAATGAGTAAATATTTAGAAAAATATTATACATGTTTGTGTAAATACAAAAATAAATTTCAAATTATCAGGCAAAGAATTTTTGCAATTAATATAATTATTTGTTATAATATTCATTGCTTATTATTGCAATATTATAATTAAAATTTTTAATCATACTTTTTTTGCATTCAAAAAATATTTTCTATAAAAACATTTATAAATCTAGAAATACTTTATGATTGGTTTAAGTGCTTACAAGTATGTGTGAAGAAGATTTATATCATCACTAAACGGATCGAAATTTTCGTAAAATTCCGGAACCAGATTACGAAGAGTGTAAAGCGTATCCAAATTTTTTTTGGCTTGTTCGAAATTAAATTTTACAGCATAAATAAAAAATTTTAATCGTTGATCAGAGATATCTGTAAAATAACATTCGTCTTTATATATAATGTAAAGAGTTGATAAAGAAATTACGAATAAAACATTGTGGATTTGTTTATCATTAAATGTAGATATTATGATTATTAAACTAGTATATTTTTTAAGTAGTTTAAGATAAAGTATATTTTTTAGATTTTTAGATAATAATTAACGAATTAATCGAAAAAATTAATTGAAAATTAGAAATACAAACCTTGAGAAAGATGACTTTGCTGTTTCAACCACAGTCGAAATTTCAACAACAACTCTTCCAAAAGTTTTCATCTCCACCACTATTCTTCAGAACTTCATTAAGCGTAGGTACTTCAAGCTTCAACATTTTTGTTACCGTTTGTTTTTTCACCAAATTGTTTCGTATATATACAAACTAAAATTACACATATTACGAGCTACATGCTTTTGTCACAGAATAAAATTAAGAATAGAATTTTATTTTGAATTTTATATTATCTCGCGTGTTATACATCGGGCAAAATGATATAGAAGCTAATAATCGTGAGACATTATTATTAATATTAAATTACATAATATAATATTATATACAAAATATTACATTAATATTGTAATTTATCTCCGATGATTATTCCACTGATTTAGTTGTTTGTGTAATATAAATAATTTTTTATAGTCGCGATAAGATTTAAACTTAGAATTTATACGAGAATCAAAAAATATACTGGAAACAGATCTGACGATCAGTAACGTTACATTCCTTTGCTTGCGTCTTTTATACACTATTATTCCCACTCTATACATTTGTAAATCACGGAAGAACTTTCATCATCAAGTTGACGCATGGAGCTGCTCACGGAGATGGTACATACTTTAATACATGATGGATATTTGCACCAGCACAATCTCAAATTACAGAGATGTCAGGAACCAAGATTTATAGAGAGAAGGTTACCTCAGTAAAACCGGTTTACGGCGAGGGACAATGAAGTAAGGAGGGAGCTAGAAACAGCTTGATGGCGAGGGGCGATGAAGGAAGAGGAGAGCATGATGATCTCATCGACAAACAGTAGCTATCTGAGATAGCTATCTGAGACGTGTCCACGATGCAAGAAATTCTGAGATTTCTTATAATTTTCTAAAAAATGTTTTAAAAATATGAATAAATAAGAAATTTTTTCTCAGAATTTTTCATAAAATAAAATTATGAAAAATTTTTTAATTTTCTAGGAAACCCATACAGCACAGAACATTGCAATTACATTGCAGCAATGTTACAATCTTGCAAGATGCAATGTAATATTGTTGAGACATTATTGCAACCTGTAATTGTAATATTTCATGAGAATGTGACAGCAACATTCCAATAACATTGTAATAGCAGAGAGAAACCTGAGAGAGGCCACGCTGCCGTTTTCCGTACGACGCTTTCTCTAGGCCAGTGCTGTCAGCTATTTGCAACTTTCGGCCGGATTTTTCGATGCACGCCTACTGCTCCCCCTCTTAATGCTCGGCGCGTTGTCAACGCGCGAGCAGTAGGAGGGGGAGCAGTAGGCGTGCATCGAGAAATCCGGCCGAAAGTTGCAAATAGCTGACAGCACTGCTCTAGACCGTATGCTAGTGACGCACGTCCATTTTCGGCCGGCTTAGGAACTAAATAGCCACGTCCAAGTGCGTCACTAGCGTACGGCCTAGAGAAAACGTCGTACGGAAAACGGCAGCGTGGCCTGTCTCAGGTTTCTCTCTGGTAGTACTATTTTTTATTTAACAGATTATAATTGTTTATTTGTATTTTATTCATAAGAAAACTACAGAATATATTATGATTTTAACAAAAGTTTTAATTAAATCGTCAAATTTAGTTAAATAAATAAAATTAGAAAAAGCATTAATAACTAACAACTTGCAATAACTTTTACGGAAATTTCATGGAATTACGGCTCCATGGGACACAAGGAGATAAAAACACACGTAATGCCCTATCTACACCAAAGGATAATCCTGCTTGTGGCTCATCCGAGCGAGTAATGTAGACGACCGAAAATCATACTGAAGTTGGTTTTCAATCGTACCAACTCAAAAAAGCAAATCACTCATTAAAATATTTGCATATAAAAAGCAAAAATATTTCTATAAAAAATAATCTTCTGTCGAACAGAATAACAATTCGAGTTACCTTAGGGCGGTATTCATAGTCCGTTCTTATATTTAAAATCGTCTTAAGCACGGACTTATATTCGCTCTCTTCGTCACACATAGATTGTGTCTGACGAAGAGAGCGAATATAAGTTCGTGCTTAAGACGATCTTGAATATAAGAACGGACTATGAATACCGCCCTTAGATCGGATGAAAGTTTGTTTTATAGGTCAGGTAATGAAATTATTACCGATTTTAAATTCAACAGTACCAATATAACAACACTAAAATTGTACTTACAAGGAAAGGGACCCAAGTGTCCCTCTCCGATTTTGACGAGCTTTAAATATGTTGTAAAGTAGCTCAAAATAAGAGACACGTATTTTTTTTTTATGTGCTTTCTCGCACGTTTAGGGTTGAAACAACCCCTACAAGCTAAAACGGTTTTTTTGGTTTTGACTGAATATCGTCAAAACTGTAAGAGATATCAAAAAATGTTTCGAATAAAAGTTGCATGGTCTTTTATGAGCTTTATAACCGCGTAGCTCGATTTTTAAAAAATTTTATATTTTTTAATTTACCCTCACTTCTTCTTATTATTTTTACGAATTTCAAAATTTTTGTTATGACAAAAGTTGTAGCATTTTTTACGCTGAATACAACCATATATGATTATATTATGTTTCAAAATTGCATCTTTCAGAAATGAGTTGTCAATGTCGCACTATATGCGTCGCGCTGCGATATATGCATATACCATATATGCATAACGTATTGTTTGTGCCGCTTGTGTAATCGATATTTGTCGCGCATGTGTAATTGATCAAAAAAAAGCTGTCGTATATATTGACCTTCTAAAAAATTAATCTTCCAAAAAAAATGTCGTATACATTAACAAACCTTCCAAAAAAAGTTGTATATATCTTCCAAAAAAAGTTGTTGTATACACGCAAACCTTCCAAAAAAAGTTGTTGTATATATAAATCAAAAAAAGTTGTTGTATATATAAACCTTTCAAAAAAAGCTGTTGTATATATTAACCTTCCAAAAAATTTATCTTTCACAAAAAAATGTATATATTAACA